CTATATATATATATATATATATATATATATATATATATGGGTTTGTCTAGAGTTAATAATCCCTCAAAATACAAAGATTCAAGTTAGAAGGCGTTGTCATGGGTGTATTTATCAAAACAATGATTACTTTTTTATTAAAAATTTATTTAAGTATGTAACTTTACCATTAAGCGAGGGAAAAATTGAAATTTTCACAAAAATACAATGACATTTTGGAAGTTAGTGTCGTGGAACTTTATTTGTAGAGTGCCTTTGTCTTTTAGTTAAAATTTTAATTTTACCCCTTATGGAGAGGACAAAAGTACTCTTTGTCTTGCAGTAATAATTACAAAATTACCCCACTAACTTTTTCAAAAAAAATAGACTACAAAATTAATAAATCCGCCCCTCACAACTCTCTCTAATTTGGGGGCCTCAGTCTTCTAAATCTTTCTGTTAGGTCACTGTCATTCTGCTCTGGGGTGGGGGTAGACTAAGTTGGCATCGACTCCTTCATCATTTGGGTCATTGCCCCAAGAGTCTTGTAAAACTCACTAAGCATCTCGGTGTTCTCGTTGTTGGAACTCGCATTATTGGCACGAGCCCTCGGCATCTTCAATGTAACACAGGAGCACCCAATCACTAATCTATCTTAAATCTATTCTAATGACTCTTCTAAAATCCTCATAGGCCAATAATCCTATCATGGCTGCTCTTATACCATAACTGTCACGACCCCGTCATCGATCCCATTATCCTACGCAATGGAGGTTGACCGAATGCGAATTCGTGATCCCAAGATAGCGTATGTGCCTCAGGTCGAAGCGGACTCAACGCCTTTATCTCAGTAATCCAAGCAAACCAAGAAAAGAACTAAAAAATTTGGAGAAATCCATACACCAATAAAAGTGTACTACATAAAATTGTTCCCAAAATAATATACTTGAGTCTGAGGCGTCAAGGCCCAATATTACATATTTCCAAAATAAACAAAATTCAGGGTTAAATTGCCCAACTACCTATAATATCTGAGTTTCTTCTCAAGTAAAAAAAGACTCCAACTCCCAACTGCAAAACACGAGCTTTTGGCCCTCGACCTGGTGCTAACAATCTACAAGAGGGGAGATATAGGGAGATAGCTATAAAACCCCAGTATGTAGTTTTAGGTACTATGCATCATTAATAAGTCTATTCATATATTGTAAGCAGTTCTTTCAATTATAAGAAATCACAATGCAACTATCATGTAAGTCAGAAAGCAGATCAGTGCATCAGTTACAGGTATTATATTAAACTGTCATAGCTATCATAATAATATAGTGTTTTATATATATATATATATATATATATATATATATATGCGATCTTCGACGAAGTAATATTATTTTCTTTTCTTTTTTCTTTTTTACCTTTCTTTTCTTTTCTTTTGGTAAATATCACTTACAAGTGCTCTTATTACAATAACTCTTGCTCCAAAAAAAATAAAACTAACAAATCCAATATCTTAAAAACCTTGATGCCATTAAGCCAATTTTCTTTAAATAAAAAAAATATCCACAATTCATATCCTATATCTTGTCATAAGATATAGGATATATATCCTATGACAAGATATATCTTGATATATATCCTACTTTGACAAGATAGGATATCTTGACAAGAAAGTCACCACCATCTTGTCAAGATATATCTTGTCAGAGGATTATTTAGGATATATCCGATGTCAAGATATATCCTAAATAAATTGTCAAGGTATATCTTATCAAGATATCTTAACATGATTATTTAGGATCATTACCAGAGGATTATTTAGGATTTAGGATCATTTAGGATATGTATGAATTTTCAATAAATACATAGTATTTAGGATTATTTAGGATTCATACATAATTCTAAATTATATGTATGAATTCTCAATAATGTATGTCATAGTATGAATCCTAAATAACTTATTGAGAATTTATCAAAAAATTCTCAATAATTGTAAAATTCTCAATGATGTATGTCATAGTTTGAATCCTAAATAATGGCAATTATTTAGGATTCTGAGATTCGGTTTTGAATGTCAAAGGAAATTCTCAATAAAGCATAACAAGGTTTTCTCAGATAATAAGGTTTTCTCAGATTCAAATTTCTCAGATTCGGTTTTGAATGTCAAAGGATTCATACTATGACTGTAAAATGAAATTCTCAATAATTCTCAATAAATTCTCATATTCGGTTTTGAATGTCAAAGGAAATTCTCAATAATTCTCAAATTCGGTTTTGAATGTTAAAGGAAATTCCATCCACTACACTGAACAACCGTTCGTATATGAGATTGGATGGTTGGTAAGGTGCCAGCAAATTGCTTGAATTCCAAAAGTTAGTATGTTAAAAAATGACATTTATATATGGGTTTTGTTATGGTGCTTCTACACATGAAATATATACTTAATGTAATCAATATTTTTGGATACATAGATACATTGTATTCATTCAAAATTAGAGATGTTTTTTATCTATGCAACAACATTTATGTATGTTTTAGCCTATGCAAGTAGTGCTTATGATATACCCCACCTCGAACAAAATATACATTGGGCAAAATGCCTTATGAGAGATTTACTGGATATGAAAGACTAGGAAGACCTACTATAGAATCACTAGAATGGTAATATCATCAAAATATTAATTTTTTATCTTAATATTTAAATCTTTACAATAAGATCCATGGTGCGTACATATTTTTTCGCCTTTTGCATTCATCTCAGGTCGAGTGGATCACATTGTCAACATTTAAGTTCATTGAAATACTCTTGGCTAGAAGTTTGGTTGAAGAAACACTATGTTCGAAATTGTCGTGGGATTGGAAAGTAGGATGTGTAACTAAAACATGGGCCTATTACCGCCACGATTTGGAGTTTATCTCTATGGCTTTATACCCTTTTGAAAATGGGAAAAGTTTATATAAGGTTGCAATCTTAAAGTGTAGAATCACAAGTGTACCTCAAAAATCTATCGAAAATATTGTTTTAATGTTGAATAAACCCTTTAATCGATCATCTCGACATTGAAATGTATGAATATATATAAAAAAAAAGTTTTAAAATCTCGAAAATAGTGCATCTTGCAACAAATTATCTAGACCGCCGAATTTAAAGAGTTTTATATATCTATAGGTCTATATGCTTTTAACCATTTTTAAAACATAAAATTTTCTAATTAGATATGAAAATAGATTTTAAGATAATACTAAAAAAACATTTATAGCGAGGGATCATTTAAGGTTGCATCCTCATAAAAACCGCACCGAATCTTTTCTTTTTCCATAATAAAACTAAAAGGTACACAGTTGTGAAGAAGGGGTAACAAATAAAGAAGATTTCTGAGCCCGTGAGGATTCTTGAGGAATTAAGAAATAAAGAAGAGGAAAAGAGTGGCCTTAGTGATGGGAAGTGAAAAGTGGTCAAACGGGAGGCGAGGAAGCGACACGCAGCTAGCCAGAAAGAGAGAGAAAGCCCACTCTTTTTCTCTCTAAAAGCGAACTGGAAAGAAAACCCTCTCCATCCTTTCTTTCTCTCTCTCTCTCTAGCTCCAGTTATTGTGTGAGGCCTCTCTCTGCATATATAGCATGCCAGCCAAGACTCAGCTTACTACCACCATTGAAACAGATCCTAATTCCTACAGGATCTCCCTCTCTCTCTTTCTCTCTCTCTCTACGACACAGAATCGAAAGCACCACCTCTCTCTCTCTCTGTCAAAATCCAAAGCACACCAGATGCCTACCATGCCACCTGAAGAAACCACCTCCGCCATAGCCAAATGGCTCACAAACCCTCTTCTTCCTTTCTCTCTCTAAAAGGGAACTAGAAAGAAAACCCTCTTCTTCCTTTCTCTCTCTCTCTAGCTCCATTTATAGTGTAAGGCCTCTCTCTGCATATATAGCATACCAGCCAAGACTCAGCTTAATACCACCATTGAAAGAGATCCTAATTCCTACAGGATATCTCTCTCTCACTCTCTCTACAACACAGAATCGAAAGCACCACCTCTCTCTCTCTCTGTCAAAATCCAAAGCACACCAGATACCCACCATGCCACCTGAAGAAACCACCTCCACCATATCCAAATGGCTCACAAACCATCCCAAACCATCTTCGAGCTCATCACCAAGCACTTCCGACCTCTTCGTATGCTTCCCTTCTCGAGGCCCCCTAACACTAATGCCCAAGCCCATATGTAGCCCCGACTGGCGACCCGACCGAGCCAAGCATCACCACCGCGCCGCACCGACCCGTGCCCACGGCAGCCCCATGCTCCGACCCAAGGTTCGGGCCCACCCGAGCCCAGTCATCTAGCTGCACGAGCCCACCTCACCCAAGGTCACATGCGCAGGTCAGGTCCGGGTCAAGCCCAGGCGCGCGTGCAGGACTTGGCAATCAGTGATGGAAGAGGTAGAGAAGCTTCATGCTAACAAGCACAGGCGCAATTCTGGCCGCCCGATCGGCAGCAAATTTGAGGAGGCCGTACATTTCTTGACTGCTCTGACAAAATTCCGGTTCGATTTTCGTTGCTTCGGCGGTTTTCCGTCCTCCTACTCTTCATCAGATGAAGAAGAGGAAGAGAAAGAAGCAGAGGGGAGAGGAGCTGGCACTGTGTTTGCTAAATGGTTCATGATATTGCAGGAGGACCCAGATAAGAAAACCCACCTTAATGGGATGAGAGAGAAAGTGGGGTTAGAGAGAGGAAGAGGATTTGTTGGGGGAGAGAGAGAGAAGGGGAAATTTGGGGAGGAGAGAGAGGAGGAGGCTCCAACCGTGCCCCCTCCAAATGCCCTGTTATTGATGAGGTGCAGGTCGGCTCCATTAAAGGGGTGGGAAGAAGAGGAGAAGGTTGAATTGAAGACAGGAAGAGGAGGAGAGAGAAAGCATGGTTTTGATGAGCTATGCGCCTGATTTTTTCAAAGTTTCGCCAGAAATTTCAAGGGAGACGTGGGTGAAGAAGTCGGATTACTTGTCGAGAAGCCGGAGTTGGAAGAGATAGAAAACTTTTCAGGCGTGTTTTTCCGGTGAAGTGTTGGAGTTGTGTATGGTTTTGGGGGCTGTGTACAGTTTAGAAGAGAAGCGCAATTGGTCGAAAAGGCTGAAGCTTTTCCGAAAGTAAAGCTCTGGTTTTTCGTCTTCTTTTTCTGAAATTTCTCATTTTTTATTCCCAATTTTTTTTTTGGGTGCTGTCCTCTTCCTTTCTCTTACTTCTTTCTCACTCTTCTTTGTCATTTCTTCTCACTCCGAATCCAGAGATCTGTTCCGGTTTGAATAAATATTGGTTTGCTGCACGCACCAATCGTATCACAATCTCAAAGTAAGCCAAAGAAGATCGTTTGTATTTATGTGTATCTTATCTTTTTGTCATTAGTTTGGTTTGAATGTATTCACTTCGGTCCATAAATTGTGCTTTATGTGTTCAATAAAAATGTGATTTATTTATGCATTTATGGATATGGATGGCCAGTAGTGGACTATATTGTAGTAAAATGAAATCGACGGATCTATGTGAGTGAACCTCATTTTATTTATTGGCTTGGGGTCTTTCCTGTACTTGTGTAATGGTTTGAGATACGTCAACAATACATTCTCTTGGATTTTAGAGAGAGAGAAGCCCCGGGGGACGGGAGGGGAGGTGGCATAAAATAAAGATGGAAAACAGGGCATGAAACAATGAAGCATGGGTTTCACTGTGATTCAAAATGAGGACTATAGAGAAAGGACTGACATAAACTTAGGATTTTCTTTTTGGGTAGATGAATTTGTTGCAAGTAACTAACTACTCCACTTTGGAAACCCTGTGATTCTCAAGTTTTTTTTTTATTGACTTTTTTGGGTAAATTTAGCATTATCAGTCTAAAAATCACCAGGGTTGTCCAGATCATATTGGTAATTGAGGGGTCCTTTAAATCTAATCTTGGTAAGTACGGGCCCAATTTCAATTTTTGGGGTAGAAAATATTGTCGTTCTCTCTGGGTATCAAACGGTGTATAGGATCCCCAAATGTACTATTACAGAGATAAACGTATACAATCAAAAACCTTCCCAAGATAGGTATATAAAATAAGAAAGAAAATATTATGCAGAAACAATTAATACAGGTTGCTATAATTTCACACTTCCCCTCAAACTTGAGATGGCTTGGTAGAAATTGTTTTGAAAGAAACCAAGAGAATTTAGGTGCACTATCTATTTTGGTGATTAAGTCAGCCAGTTGCTCAAAAGAGACAATGTATGTAAGAGAAATTGTGCCTACAAAACATTCTTTTTGAGCAAGGTGACAGTCAATTCAATATACTTGGCACATGGAACTCTGGATTTTAAAAATGTAGATGGTGCTTTAATTGTTCCAATAAAGCGGTGTGGAAGTCATACCAGTGTTCACAAGACGCTCGAGGTTGGCGAGGCAGGGCACGAATTTTCGGTCATGATGTCAAGCACCTTCTAATTGAAACGGAGTCAATCAGTGGTAGATATTAGAGCTTCATCAAATTATAGTCCGAGAGAGAGGTAAGCCTAGGGATTGCTCTATCTCTTTCTAACCACTGACAATTGTAGGTTGATGGGACGATGAGGCCGAAAATTCGCGAATAGGAAGAAGTTTTAAAAATCCTAGAGCAAAGAATGGGATTGATATAGGAAATGGTTTCAAAATAGGGAATTAGGACTAAACTACACTAAATATGCAAAGAAAAGCTAAAAGAGATGAACTTACTTGGAAACCAAGCCCATAAGCTTTACACCTGGAGTCGGTAGTCTTGCTTAGATCTGAAATTGTTGTGCCAACCTCTTTCGCCCCTTAGAGTTTGCCAATTGGGATTGAACAATGTTAAGATTGAGTTGATACTAACTTAGATTTGAATTGGATACTAAGCCTAGGCGATAAAGAAAGAGTCTATAGTCTATAGATGTAACAAATAATCTATGATTTGATTACAGGCCTCAGGGTATATGTTGATTAAGATAAGATTCCAGAGGTTAGTCAGCTCAGGGGCTTTATGAGAGGGAAAATTAAGATTCTTAGCTTTAGGATTTCATAGGATCCAGGGTTAAGTGTGTGGAGTGTTAGGGCTTCCCCTATTTCTCTAAGGTCTCTGAACCAATACCATAGTTGAGGGTCTATATTTACAAGGTAGTACCTAGATAACAGCTTTTGCAAGTGTTGGCTGAATCTGGGCCATAGATCACTACCGAAACACAGTAGTACGCTTCTGTAAATAGGTATTACGCATACGCAGTCGACCCCATAATTTTGTTGTTTTGTGCCACTTGTCTTGTTATGGCTGTTGGGATGTTTCAACATGTAAAGGAGCCATTTTATGTGCGTTTTAGTGGTGGTAATGGGTTTAAATTATGAGTTTTAAATGCCATAAAAGTGAGATCAAACTAAGGTTTAGTGGGGTTATGATGTTGTTGGGGTTTGACCTAGGATTAAAGGTGTTGGCCCATGTTTAGATTGGTATAGGCAAGTTTAAGGTGGGTTAAGGCCATTTAGGTAGGTTTAGGTTTATTTTAGAAGCTTTTAAGGGAGCTTAGGTCTAAATTGGAAGGTTTAAAGCTGGCTTAGGTTATCTTAGGAAGGTTTAAGATGATTTAGTGGATTGAAGTAATTGAACTAGTTTAGTTGGGTTTTAAATTGGAGGAGTTGATTAACTTCTATGGTGCATGGGATGGGCTATGGTATATGAAAACGATGGTTCTAGGGTGCATGGTCATAGTGTGGTCCTTAGTCTAGTTTTAGGCTCAAAAATGAGTTTTTGGGTAGTCTAAGGTCTAGGACTATACTCTAAGTTTTCTAGGGTTTCTACTTCCTGGAATTCCTTCAGCTAAGAATGAAGTGTCTACAAAAAGTAATGCCCATATCAGCAAGGAACCATTAAAGCCAAACAACATATGTTGTAGTTTATGCTATTGCCCTATATTTAGCTTCTGTAGTAGATTGGGCAATGCGAGGTAAAAGAGAATCACCAAAAAAAATACAAAATCATGTAGTTTATTTGTGAACACTTAGTTTCTTTACAAAATTTGAGTCTATGCTCGATGCTCAAGTAAGGAAGAAGAAAAGAAAAGCAAAGCTTGGTGTCGAGAATCTCTAATATAACGAATGATGCGTAAGACTGTAGCTAAATAGACGAATCGTCGAGCACTTTGGAAATGACTAATCAAATGCACCACAGAAGTAATATCTAGGTGAGAAATTGTCAGATATATTAATTTTTCAACTAATTGACGATAAAAATGTTGTAACTAAGAGTCGTTTACCATTTGATTCTCGAAGTTTAACATTCAATTAAGTAAGAGTGTCATCTCTCTTAGTATCATGCATGAGGCGTGTGTCATCTCTCTTAGTATCATTCATGAGGCGAGCTTGGGAGACTATTTCTGAGGCATACTTGTGTTGAGATAACAAACAGCTGCGAGGAGAATTAGGAACATCTAGACCAAAAATATGGTGCAAGAACCCTAAGTCTTTCATTTCAAATATTTGATTAAGTGTTTGTTTAATCTTGTAAACGAATAGCTTCATCATCACCAAATATTATCATATCATCCACATAGAGTAACAAAAATGCTTGGCTAGCAAAAGTATCAAACACAAATAGGGATAGATCTTGATGGCTCTATTGTCGAAATCCTACTGACATTACAAAAGTTTTCAAACCAAGCTAGGGGTCCATATGTGAACTTAGATTTTTTTTTGCTTTCGGAAACTGAGGGAGGGAGGGGGGGAGGGAGGGAGGGGAGGGGAGGGGAGGTGAGGGGTCTTGCCGGAGAAGTCTTGGGGCTGTGGGAAATTTTATGAACACGATAGAGAGGACTTTGGATCTGGTTTCGATGGTGATTTTTAGAGGCGAATTTCAAAGACAAGAGGGTTTTAGATCTATCGGTTTCAAAGGAGATTTTCCAGAGTTCGTTTTTGAGATGTATCGAATGATTGTTTTTCAAATGCGGATTTCTGTGGGGGGTTTGAGATGACAGTTTCAGATTGATGGTTTCACATTTGGTAGGGTGATTTTCAAATTTGCAATATTACATTGTGGTTTTGTAGAATGATGATTTTTGTAGGGTGGTTTTGGTAGAAAGGTATTGCATGGCTAAGGTATGATATGGCTGATTTCGCAGGCCGTTATTTAGATGTCGATTTTAGGAAAGAAAAAATATACCCGAGATCATTTACCTTTAACACAAGGTGATCACATTTGATGTGAAATTGAGTGGTTACATTTATTCCATTGACTAAGTTGAATGTCCTAAAGAAATGTTTTCGAACTTTGTGACACACCCAAACTATCACATTTCACATCAAATGGTTACAAATAATTGTGACCTTTTTGGTAAATGGTCTCATTGTATACAATTTTTTTCATAAAAGTCGTATTGCAGGACTACCGGCCGTAGCTCCAATACCATGTTGAAAATATTGTATTTTTCTTTATATCAAATTGTGTATAGGACCAAAGAGCAGTGTTCTTCTGTTTATGCATGACTCTCATTCTAACTCTCCAATGTAGGACTAAAACTTTATTTAAATTACATAACATGCTTGAAACACCTTTTGGCGAAACTAACAGAACCATGCCACCCACTGTATTGCACAAGCAAGGCACAACAAAAGAAAAAAGGAAATTCCTTTCCCTCAAGTTTTTGATTTGGATGTATTGATATATACGAATACATACGGGAATGTATATATGCAATAATTAAAGAGCAATACAAAATGCACACATTTACTTGTCGCCTTGGGTTCATCACCGGTCCGAGCTCAATCGACCAAAGTTCGCTCCATTTTCCGGGCTACACCCCGAGTGCTACTTCTATTCTCTTATTTCTATGTTTCCGCAGAGAACGAGAAAGAGAGCGAGCAAGCAAGGGAGAGAGAGAGCATACACAATCACTAAGTGTGCCTTCCTCGCAAAACGCCTGGCTTGTTCATCGCCAACCTCGATTTCGTTGATTGAATGGCCCTGATTGGGCAGGCATGCATCTATGAATAAGAAAAATTGGAGTATGTAGTGCTTGGAAGATGGGAGATACAATGGCCAAGAAGCATTTCAACTGCTATGGTATTTGATGGAACTCTCGAGCAACTGTGGATTGGATCCCGCTATATCCTTCACTTGAGACCCATTCTTGTATATCTTGAAAGCCGGCACGGATGAGACTCCCTCTGATTTACTTAGGTTTGGGTTTTCCTCTGTGTCCACCTGAAACCACAAATTCAGACAACTTCGAATAAACAGATAAACTAGTCAAACTTCAAATTTTTTGGAGTTTAGAGAGCCTACCATTGTATCTAGGGCCAGGCTTATTGGGCCCGTGTTTGTGCCCGGCCCTATCTTTTCTTCCACTTTCTTTTTCAAAAAACGAATTCCTATATCGACATAATGTCTGGCCCCATTTTTTGGGTTCAGGCCTCATCAGCACAAATTCAGGTGGGCCTAGTTAAATGGTTCCAAGCC